TGGCTCCAGAGGGAGCCGTGTGATTGGTCGGGATTGAAGACAACAAGTTTGAAAATCAAATAAAATCTGGCAGCGTGGAGTTAGAGAGAAGTGAACTTTCCAGACCTCTGTAGCCCCCTCCTCGTCTTTGCTGGAGGCTAGCGGCTTGAGGCTGCATTAGACGCTACTAGGATAACATACCCCAATCTCCGACTGGACTGTCAGTGGTGGAGTTGCATCATGGGTATTGCAGGCAACCTTATTAAACACAATATCGATTGCTGCACTGCATTTATTTTGATCCTTTTTTTCTTAAACTGTAGAAGTGCAGTGTTAAATCTGTGGACTACTCCTTTAAGTGCAGTCTCACAGAGCCGTTAGCACCCCTGAAGACTCTAAGTCTTGTTTGTTAAGAAGCCAAAGGTTTGACTTTTAATCATATGAAAAAACATCTTGTCTCCTGTTAGACCGGAAAAGTCAGCCTCGTTCATTCCTCTCCAGCGTGACATCAGGGCGCCCCTCATGTCTGATAAGGCGCCTCGCTCTCGTCTGCACAGAAATCTCCTCCATTACTTCGTCTCCACCTGACTTGCAGGATATCAGTTATGAATCTGCATGATTCTGGTGTCAGAGAGGCAATCAAAGGGAGACAGTTACGCTGCCTCGTCCTCCCATCTCCACAGAGAGACAGGGCAGAGTGGTTTCCTCTCCTCCTCCTCCTTCTCACCGTGAAAATAAAAAGCAGGATAGTGCTAGAAGAAAGGAAACCCAATGGGATTTCAGTCTCTATCTTTCACTCTTGTGTCTGCTTCTGCCTCCTTCTTCCCTCTTTCCTCATTCTCTCAGGCTGAACCTTTCCTGGGTCCTATATTCTCTTTTATCGTTCTCTCCATCCTTACCCTTTCCTAGTTTTGTCCTCCTCTCCCATTCTCTTTGCCCTTACTCCACAAGAGTTTCTTTTGCCTTTTCATCTCTGTCCTAAGTTTCTTTCTTTGCTTCCTTATCTCGTCCCTCTCCTCCTCAGTCTTCACAGCATAAGTTCAGCCCAACCAAAGCTGCTGCACAGATAGAAATAAATTAGCCTTTATTCTGACCTAAATCAAACATGCTGCATTGAAAATACTTGGTAAATAGCATTTAATGGATGCAGATGCATAAATAGAGTCTGTAATATACAAAAAAAAAAAATCTTACAATTTTGGTTCATAACCTAAGGGTTGGTGAAACATTTTTTTTTTACGATGTTCTGGGAAATGTTTTAGGATCTTGGCCAAAAGTCTGCAGAAAACTTCACCAGGCTTCAAAATGGTTTCTGGGCTGTGATGAGTTTAATACTCCGGTGGAAGATAAAGTGAAATGGTCAAAGGCTGACTGGCACTGCACCCTGCGTGCCAGCCAGCTGATATCTCAGAAAGATCAATATGGCAGAGAGGTCAGCAAGCAAAGATGAAGAAGACAAATGTTCATGTCAGAGTATTTTTTTTCCAAATGGCGATCATTCAGCACCGCAGGAGAACAAATGCGAGGCAAGGCGAACAACTTTTACACTTCTCTCTCTCTATATATATATATAAACAGAGAAAGCTCATCTGTGTTGAGGATTGAGGATACAATGGTTTAGAGGAGTGAAGATAAAGTATTTGAAGGTTGTGCTGCATTATGTGCTACCACATGCTGTCGTAGCAAAGTGCATTCCAATCATAAAGAATTGATTGAAGCTCGCCGTGGCAGAATGTGAAGGGTGACATGATAGCAGGTTTGAAGAAGCGTAAATGATGCTCAGTGAAGCCGGGGCCCTAATTGATGTCCCTTGTCACCAAAATGTCAATAAGTTTATTGCCAAGAGAAAAAATAAATTGGCGGTTTACTTACAATGCTCAGCTGCTCCAGTCAGTGGGAGAAAATCAATTCTCATCCATAGCTGAGTTTACTGACGCATTACAGACAAATCCTCATCAAATCAAAACGTACACGGTCACTGACTATTGGCATGTCAGGCAGCGAGAATAAAAAGATGCCGCTGCGTGCCCCATCAGCTGTCTTCAAATATGACTGACTCATTTATTTATTTGTGCTCCACTCGACTTCTGACAGAACTGTGTGACTCTGCTGTGCGATAATTCAGATTCAGAGACCAAAAAAAAAAAAAAACCTAAACAGCCTCTGGCATATTGAACGCCAGCTCTGGACTAGAATTAACTGGATTTTAATGTTGCTTACCACACCATGTCCACGATCCACATCGTACACGGCTACATACAAATTCCCACCATTAGAAGTTTTCACACTTACAGGAAAATTCCCTTTCTTTTAAATTATTTTTGTAATTTCTGAGAATTATTTCCAGTTGTTACAACTAAAATCTGATTCATTACTACATTACTGAGATGTTGGAGGGTGAAGCAACCTCACTCCTCACAGCTCTACAGTGGAGTCCATTAATGCAACCCGAGTGACAAACAGGCTGTGAAGATCTCCAGCTTAAACCAATTATCTAAACCAAATTATCTGGAAGTTACAACAAAGCTGAATGCATGTGAAATGTTTGCTATGATTGTCCATTGCATTGGGGAAAAAAAAGCATGTTTGTACAAATATGTGTAGCTGTGCTTCTACAGTATACTTGTGGGGGTCTTCATTGACATAATGCATTTCCCCAGGACCCTTGAGGCCTGGATGTTCTCCAAAGCAGATGCAGACGTGAGCAGCCGACGCTCATGCATGTACTGTTTATACTGCATTGCGTGTCTGCATAAGGAGGCACGTTCACACATGGCTGTCAGCACATACTGTCGGCCCAGTCATTCATTTTTGGAAGCACGCAAACGCTCCTATGTAGACGCTTGCAGCCATGCAGACATGTGACGTATAATTTATGTATAACCATCCTAATCTGAACCATTACAACTGCAGGCTTACCGCAAACCCAGTTCCAGCCTTAAACCTAAAACCATAACCTTCAAACAGCACTTTGCAGAACTGAGGACTGAGCAAAATGGTTGTGGCGCATGTCATCTTCTCGCTTCCTGTCCTCACTCTGCTGTTTCTGTATAAATCCCATTTCCAAAACTGTCCTCACTCTCCAGGTCTTAATCAGTGAGTGCAGTGTGTTAATGTTTAATCAGGAAGTCTGCAAAGTCTAATAAATGAATCATCATTCGGATAATATAGGGAAATTGTGGATTTGGCCACAATGTGTTTAATTGTCTGACGGCTTGTGCTTCTTTCTTGCTGCACTCTGTTTTAGTGGCATCACCAAATCCCCAGACTGCAGCTTTAACAGTATGTTAATGAGGAAAATGCTATCGTAACCTCATCATAAATAACACTAATGAAATGCCAAAAAAAAAAAAAAAATGGAGAATCGTTCTGCTCACATACTTTTTGTAGAGAATGGTGAATTCACAGAACACATTGCAACATGTGGAGCTGAAGGTGGGGAAGGTGAAGTGAACAGACAGGCAGCGTTTCTCCATGAGAAAACTCTGCCAGCTGATCTTTTCACAGTTATCAGCAGCCAACATTATAGGTTTCCACACTTGTTGGTTTCTGCTCCCGTGAGATTTCTTTTAATGAATAATAGTTCCGCCATCTGTTGCCAACTTGCATTACTTTGTCACAAGATTAAGTGACTCTTCAGAGCCCCTGGTGTTTAATTTAGCAAAAGTTCATTTACCAACCGGGTTTCTTTTTCTGACGTTCAAGAACAATGTGTTGACTTCCAAATCTGTCTGGCTGATACATGTTCATGCTGCTTGTTTGTCTCATCCACGCAGCGACAGCGGGGAGGCGGCTGTCAAATTACTCATATGCAAATCAACATATGACACATCGTGAAAGAGAGATGGCAGTGCTGATTGGCCTGCTGTTCAGAGTGTCATCAGTCCTCTCAGGGACGCATCACTCAAAGAACCTACCTGACACAAACCCACGGTGTGAGGGGTCAGCGGGGGCCCCTGGGCTATAAGTCAATCGAGCGGCTTCAACGAGATGCCAGACTCCTACAGAGTGAGACAAAGTGACTACAGAGAGACTAAAAACAACTACAGAGAGACGCAAAGCGGCTTCAACCGTGGCCACGTTACTTGTGGTTTAGTGTCTCTCCCAGACTGTTTCTTGCTCCTTTTTGTAGGGGAGGTGAACGAGCTGTTATGTGTCTATGCCCACGGGGCCTTTGTCTCATAATCTCTTAAAGAGTCTTTCCAAACTTTCCATTTCTCTAAATCTCAAACATCTCAAATCCAATTGTTGGAGAACTGTCGCAGCCATCATTTGGGTCAGTGGTGCAGACCGCTACACAAACCATCCAACAGCCCATCTACCAAATTGCCTGCAGAGAAGCACACTGTTATTATATGTTGCCTACAAAAAAAAAAAAACCTTTACAAGGTGATTAGGTCTGCTTTACTTGCAGCGCCTTCGCTCCCCAGTACTCACATTGATTGTTTTCTCCTGGCTCGGTAAATAGATGGAAGTCAATACAGCACTACAGTGACGTCAGGGTTCACCTAGCTGCAGGTCTCCCGGGCTTATCAATTAGAGCCTAAGAATGCAGCCAAGGATTTCATTTGTAGCCTAAGCTGTTATTAGTAACGACAGGTGGGTACTGAGTGTGGCGCAACACTGTGCTGGAGAAAATTGTGATAAATGACAGGGGGGAGGCGCTCTCTCTCTCTCTCTCTCTCTCCCTCCCTCTCTCTCTCTCTCTCTCTCTACAGAGCTGTGGTGTGTGTCAGGACTGCTGGTCATTAGACAGGAGGAAAGGTGTGTATTCATGAGTGTGTGTGTGTGTGTGTGTGTGTGTGTGTGTGTGTGTGTGCGTGTGCGTGTGCGTGTGTAAGTTTCAAGGGGAGAAAGTGAAGATGTAGTGCAGGAATGGGTTCCTAACGGGATAAAGTAAAACTGGCTTCACTTTCAAAGGCTTTGGTGCCTGCTTTGCAGCGCATTAGCCACACATTTGAAGCCATTCATCCGCCGGTTCCCTGCATTATGGGGAGATGCACACAGACACATCTGTTTACCTTATGGTCGATGATGCCGCTGTATCCCTGGAGGACCGGGGCGTGAGGCTTGGCCACCCTCACGGAGGCTTCAGTGGGCCGCCGCAGCTGTTCATGCTGTCGGATGCGCGTGTCGTTAGAGTCCCTGGAAGCGATGTTGAAGCTGCCGTTGTAGACAAGGAACAAGCTGGCGCACAGGAGAAGCACGAGAAGCACGGCTACCCCATGGCGCTGACACAGAGACACAAGCAGATGCTGACAAATTAGTCCGGCTGCACTGAACTGAGTTTAGGCTGCACCTATGAGCTTAACAACAGATGAGAGGTAGCCTGCTCTCAGTGACAGACATCATCATCATCATCATCATCAGCTGATTTGTCAATAAAACACCAAACTTCCCTGTAATTCATGGCACGTGCAACCAAAACTTGAAAAAAAAAAAACCCTCAGCTCTTATCGACTTAAGTTAAGGGCACGGGCATATTCATGACATTGACAAGATGTCAGGCTGTTAATGATCACCTTTACTTAGTTTGCAAGCATGCATGTCAATGCTCAGGTGCGTTCAGGAGCACGTCTGCAGGCAGATTTACAGTAAGCGCCACACCTCAGAGGACGCAGAGAGATATAAAGTAAAAGTTCACACAGATATCCTGACCTTGTGGAAGTCACTCTGATCTGCCACCTTATAAACCCATATTAAATTACAATCGGATAAGATAAGCAGCTCCTGACACCTTTTGATTTGTTTACGCGGCACAGTGCCTAACGCTGATTGTTGGATGAGTGGATCTATGTTTTTATTGTTATTTCACAGCTGTCTAAACTGGGACAGCGTGCGTGAATACAAGTCATTTAAAGCAATAAAATTCGATGCACTTGCACAAATGTATGCATCTGCATTAACACGCAGGGAAAAAAAAAACAAACATCCAGCGCGCTGTGCTCCACGCTGTAGTGTTTAGTAGGAGAAAAGCCGGAGCTCTTAGTGTCAAACAGCCCGCACAGCTGGACGTCCATTGTTCAGATCCTAATCTTTTGATCCGACAGTGTACACACAGCAGTGTTACGGCGGTTGGAGCGCACTTCTCGGAACAATGCTGGATTTGAAGGCGAGCACAAACAGTTGTCTATAGGGCTACATGGCAGAAACCTTTACCATAGGTGTCTTCATTTTGCAGCGCGCTGTCTTATCGCTGCGGCTCAGTGCGTCTGACTCCACTTTCTCTCATGGTCCAGCGCCATCCATTCGCAGTCCCCGATCCACTCCAGTCCGTCCGCACTGTGCCAGCCCGCCTGCCGCTGCCTGTGTGTCTTCAGACCGGAGCCCAGGCGCAATTCATACAGTGGAGAACGAGGAGACAGATGTTCACTATTGTATCTCTGCTGGGTCTTAAAGCCCCCCGAGTTTGAGAGGGCTGAAGAGTGGAGGCGCGGCGCAGTTAATTAAAGAGAGTACCTGCAAGAGGGTGATAAGGCCGTTTTGTTTAATGGTTATTTTCTGCTGAGCAATATTTGATGGGAATCTCTGCTCGGATTACTCTGGAGTACAGCGAAGCCACGACATGTCATCTTTTGACGTCTGCTGCATAAAATATGAGGTGGACTATAAATGAACGGGACGTTACACTGTAGTGATTATAACCTGTAGCCTGTACTTACATTAACACCCAGTCTCTTTTCGCTCATTTTAATTCACTCAAATCCTGAACTGAAGCACAAAGTTAAATGTGCTTGTACTTCCCATCTCATGCCTCTTCATACTTCTCCTCCACTGCATTTCAGAGGGACACACTGTACTTTTTCCTTCACTACAGCTTTAGTTACTAGATAATTGAGCACAGTGGTTCTCAAAGTGGGGTGCCGGGACCCCCAGGGGGCCTTGAGAGAGCGTCTGAGGGTTCCCAGCAAAAAGGGGAATAATTTATTTTCACTCTAACTCCATCCATAAGTGACACAATGACAGAATGTATGACTATTTTGGTCTCAAACACTTTAAAACATCTAAAAGCAAAAATCTTATCAGCTCTGGTCTGTGGTCTAATTAGTGTCAGGGGTCCTAGACGTGAAAAAGTTTGAGAACCACCGCTTCAGAAGTTAGAACTTTACAATACAGAACTTAATATAACTTATCAAATACCATGCACTGTAACATATTAAACCGCACTACGGTTTAGTTGACATTAATGAAATATAACACTGACAGGAGATGATTATATTTGCTGATTATACTTGTATTTCTGTTTCTATTTTCACTTTTCACGTTTCCAGTGTATTTCTTTTACTTGTAATGCAGCATTTTCAAGTGATGGTTCCTACTTTTGCTGAAGTCAAACATCTGAAAATGTCCTAATGCATTAATGCCCTTTTAGCTTTTAATCCACTTCCTCTTCCAGTTTTCCTGTTTCTCTTATTATTAATAGGCTGTACATTTAGCTCTCTCATTTTTAATCTTACATTGCCCTTTATACTGAAAAGTGCTATATAAATAAGGTTTGCTTGCTTGCAGTGCGGAAACCACCCAATGATGTACAGTGCTGATACCTTTTCATTTTTTATAATTCCTCCTTTTAAATCTAATGCACTGTACATTGTTGATAGAAAAGCTCTAAAAGCCTTAAATTCATTTTTGGATTAAACTGATTAATGAGCTGCATCAGCCTCTACGTGAAACTAGACGTTAAAGTACGTAAACAAACATTATGGAATTCAGCCTTAAAAACAACAAGCAGATATTGTGCTCTGTCAACACCTATTCCATTGTTGGCTTCCTGTTAATTTTTTCCAGACATGCACATGCATACCAACACACACATGGACATGTGGTCCATGTGTGTCTTTGTGCGCGCTGCAGCCTACTGTTTCTGTTTATTACAACTGGGACCTTTCTCTAATTAAGTCCTCTATATGTACAGATGCAGGATTCACAGTGAAGCTGACATCGTAAAACAACAAATCGCCACTTCTTAAAACTTTAAATATGCAGCTCTAAACTGTGTGTGGAGTCCTGAAAGTGATGTGTTTTATGATTCGAGTTGTACCAGCTGCAATTTACCATAAATATTAATACACTTTATTTTCAAAACACATTTATTCTTTTTTCAAAGCACATTTCCAAAGGTTTTCACAGAGCAGCAGGGAGAGAGAACTACCAAGCTAAAAGACAGCAGGAACAGGGCTATACAGAGACTTTCTGAGGGCAGTGGCCATAAAATCACAGGTACTGTTTGTGTCAACACAGGGCCCAGCTACATGTCAAGCCTTCAGGTGAATGGGCTGCAACAGCAGGAGACCACGTCAGGTTTCACTCCCGTCAACCAAGAACAGAAATCTGAGGCTGCAGTGGGCGAAGGCTCACCAACACTGGACAATTGAAGACTGGAAAAATGCAGCCTGGTCTGATGAATCTGGATTTTCTGCTGAGGCATGGAGATGATAAGGTCAGAGTTTGGTGTCAACAGCATGAATACATTGACCCAACTTCCTTGTGTCAACACTGCAGGCTGCTGCTGCTGCTGCTGCTGCTGGTGGTGGTGGTGGTGTTATGGTGTGGGGAATGTTTTCTTGGCGCATTGTTGGGTCCCTTAATACCAATCAATCATTGTTTGAATACCACCAGCCTATCAGAGTGTTGTTGCTGACCATGTACATCCCTTTATGGCCACAAGTTACCATCTTCTAATGGCTACTTGCAGCTGGATAATGAACCACTTTCACAAGGCTGTTTGAGAGAGAAGGGAGGCCCTGCCCAGTACCAGTATATTGGTACTAATAAAGTGCTGAGCAAGTGCATGTAGACATAAATATGCATAGACAGATGCAGTTTACATAAACATTAGCATATACGGTACATATACATTTTTAATTTTTAAGAAATTATACCAAATGCAGCAATAATATTAGCATAAAATCACCAGTTTGAAAAAGGGTGATTTAAAACAAGACAGTGATGGAGCTAGCTTGGCTGTTTCATCCATACCACTGGTGTGCACTCACAGTGAAGATCAGCTCCCTTCACTCATGGATTAACTAAAGGGAACTGTAGGCTACTGCCTGAGGCTCTCGCTTTGGGTCTTGATTTAAAGATTATTACCAGGTCAGAGATATTTGCTATGCAATACTTGAAATGTGATCAATGAAATGTTAAATATGACGATTCTAAAAACTTACAGTCACCCAGTGTAGAGGAGGTTATGCAGAGGTTACACAGTCACGTCCTGGAGATTTAGCCGGAAGTCTTGTTGCTGCAGTCGGTACTAACTGTGGAGAGGGATTTCTGACTCTGACAGGAGTATGGAGTATTACAGGTCTTTTAAAAGAGATTTAAAGAAATCTGTATTTTTAACTTTCACCTTTTACCAGGTCAGTAATCGATGGAAAAAAATTTGTGTTTTATGGATGGCTTTCTGAATAATAGATAAAGAAATGAGTATGAAAGAAATCATTCAGCATAAGTAGCATAAGATAAAGAAAGTGACACGAATTCAAAGGAAAAACATGTCACACTTCTTAACACTGAGAGTAGAATAAACTTAACCACAGAAAGTCCCAGTTAAAGGATAAGGCTAGGAATCGTCTGAATTTTTCATATTGTCAACCATGAAAAGACCAGAAAATCAACAATGTGTCTCTCATTACTTTCAATTACTTCCGCTACCTTTATCTGTGGCTCTCAGCCCCAGGCCCATTTGTTGCTACACTGATAATATACAAATATATAGTTTCTGTAATTTCCTGGACTAATTTCCTGGACACTGCAGATTTTCAGACTCAGATTTGGTTCTGTAGTGAGTATTTACAAGCCCTATAACACTACAAAATATGCTGAAATTAGACATTTATGCACCTCTCAACTGGCAAGCAGTGCTCACTCTCAAAGCCATGGAGTGTTTCAAGGGTTCCTTTTAAAATGTATTTCACCACAGACTATTGAATACATGCCCTTAAATGTAATTTGTCACATATTTTATTGAAGTGAGTAACACATTTTAAATACTCTGTTAAGCGGCCTTGGGTACCATGAAAGGTGCAATAAAAATCTAAGTTATTATTATTTTTATTATTATTATTATATCATTCAGTATTGTCTTGCATTATGAGTGCATGTCACACTGAGCGAATGTGGCAGTCACACAGTACAGCTTCCCAAAGCCAACTGAAAGCAGGAGTCACTCTGAGGGGGATGTTTTGTCTGGCAAAACGGATGAAGACCTAGTTTTCCCCTTTACCTTTTATTTTCCGCAGCATTATGATAGAGTGACAACTTCTCTGTTTTCCCACAGCATGACATGGGTGAAAAAGATGTAGATAACAAATCTGTAATGCTGTACGGAGCGTTAAGCTAGCTTGGGTAACAAACGGTTGTTTAAAAGTTCCCATTTAGGTAGATGTATATGCTACTGGATAGAAATAATTGCCAACAATATGGCACACAACCAAGCATGTTGTGAATTAGCTGGTTTCTGCTCAGTGGTTTGTCTGTAGACATGCTTAGCTGTCACCAGTTGGCTATCAATTTGAAAAGCAGGTAGCTCACTAGGTCAGCAATTTAACCAGCAAACATTCAACTAAACTACAACTACTTCTGTAATGCATTATAAGTATTTGTTTACTTTTTTCAAAAAGTAATCCATTTACATAATCTATTGATTTCAAGAATTAGCACCTATTTTATAACTGTAACTAAATACAGTTACTCATATTTTATATTCTAAAAACATGTGTATTGCATTACTTCCCAACACTGTGTTTAAATATGAAATGTATTTACAGTGCCAGCATGATGTATATGGGATTGCCCCAACAACAACTACAGTGCTTGTTAGAATTCATTCGTCACACAGTGCAACAGTGTGGTTGACTAATGTGTTTTTAATAGTTTCTGGACAACATGGAGGTCACAGAGGAATAAACCATGCCAGGCTTTGGAGACACAGACAGCATCTGTAAGTCTGAGCAAGTTATTGTCGGTTTTGGTCTTTTCGTGGGTTTTTTTTTTGACATTCAGAAATAAATACAAGAAAGCCAGCAGATTTACCCTTTAAAGAGTTTCTAGTCTGACACCATTTTGATGCGTCAACTCTGGTCACCATGACTGCAGCTTCTGTTCACAATCCACAGCACAATGGACACTTAAACAACATACAACAATGCATTACATCTGGACTTGAGCTGCCGCATGTTTCACCCCCATTTGCCAGTGATTGCGTATAATCTGCTTATGGAAAAAAAAAAAACAGGTCCTCATGGGAGAAGCAAGAGAGACTTCCTAGAAGCAATAATCCACATCACT